TTAACCTAGGAATTTTATTTCAAGGGCACGCATTTGGAAGCTTTCCTGCGCAGGTGCATTCGGCAAGGCTTTTTTTGATTCGCGTCTGCGCTGCGTCGAGGAGCACGGTCGGTGAGCAATTTCTAACTCATGAAGCACGGGCACTCGCTCACCCCAAAACCGCATGGGCCCGAATGGTATTCCTGGCCGATACATGCACCGTCGTAGTGATTACACCACCCCGCATCACTCACCACGACGCATTGGGCTGGACTTCATAGAGTAAGTTCATTTTCGGGGTAAGTGTGTGCAGCAGTGAGGCCATTGGGTAGCTACTTACCCGGGGCAAGTACTCACCCCAGGGGATGAGGTGGGGTGAGTAGTGCATACATCGGGCTGAGTACACAACTTCACATCACTCATCCCGCTGCACCGGGCTGGACTTCATGGAGTGAGTTCGCGTGTGCAACGGTGAATCCGGTGAGGCCTTTGGGTGCCTACTTACTCGGGGTGAGTACTCACCCCAAGAAATGGGGAGCGGTGAGTACTGCAGCGAGGCCATACATCCTTGTAGGAGATCCATTGAAATGTGGAACTACAGCACACAGAAGATTAGCATAGCCCCGGATCATTCAAGGATGACATACACAAATCGAGACATCGAGAAATTTATTGCTCAGACCTGAAGGGAGAATCGCTCCATCCGCCACAGCCTGGAGATTGCATCGCCACCACAGAGCATCCTCAGAGTCACCATAGCCACAACTCACCTTTTTGCTGGTTCATTACTGAACAAAGACCGTGAGCAAAGCCAGGGTTCCACTTGCAAGAGACGCTGTCCTGTTTCCTGTTTATTTCAGATGCTAAATGGAGACTCCTGTAAATTGTGCCAGCTGGCTATTCACAGTGACTGTCACCAGCTAATGCTTGTGGCAGAACACAAACGGTGAGGACAACGGCAAAAATAAAACCCTTGAAAAGGAAACAACTAACAGTCCTCCATGCTATATAAAAAGAGGTGCTGTCTAGTATATACGAAACGTACTATATACAAAACGTTGTACATACAAAAAGTACTATATACACAAAATCTCAACTTCCTGTCCTCTCTCACCTTCGTTTTACCCTCTCATCTTAATATTCCCTCTCCTTCCGTTAGGTCCCTCTACTCTTCTCTCCTGTCCTCTCTGGTCTCTTCTTCTCTTTTTTCTTTCTTCTTCTGGTTTCTATTATCTTTTCTTTCCTCTCGCATCGTCTCCCTCATCTGTCTCTCCTATCTCGTCTCTCATCTCTCCTCGCTCTCTCTTCTCTCTCTCTCTCTCTCTCTTTCTCTCTCTCTCTCTCTCTCTCTCTCTCTCTCTCTCTCTCTCTCTCTCTCTCTCTCTCTCTC